GACTAAGAACAAAAAGGAGAGTAAGCCTAGGCTTCAGACTTTGCAATCAAAAAGTAGCGTTTGTAAGGAACATACTTAGTAAAGTAATGATCAAGACGTTCAGTAAATAAAGATCGACCGACCACCGGAGCGATAAGTTTATTTACTGGCATCTAGATCTCTACACGTGTATGTTTCTAGGAAAAAACAAAAGCATCGAGTAATAAACAATAATTCCAACCCGTTATGTCGGCCAGTGACCTGTGTATCCGTCTGCAAGCACTTATTTCAGGTGTTGTTTGCTAGTAGGCTCTATATACCGGGATAAACTTGCTTATTTCCACATCACCAGACTGATATATTAGAATGTTAGGTAAGTACTTGCGTTCCACTAGAAGGTTATAAAATAAAAGTCAACAACGTTTGTCTGGACGCTTTTAATCTGGAATTTAGTCACCATCATTTTTAATGACAGCAGCCCAAAAGGAAGAGAATTTTTAATGGCACGGTCAAAGAGATCTACCTCCTCTCCAGAAAAGTGACCAAAAGAATAGTTTCAGCTTTCTCCCCGTTGCTGAATTTTCACCTCCTATTGAGTGTCCTGATGATAGGAACAGATGCAAAATCCGAAGGTGTTGGAAAAGATTTGTACGCAAGATGCGGAAGAACTCCCATCTCAATAATTTTATCTTTTTATGAGATTTTTGCGGCGTGTGGCTTTGAACTGTAATTCTGGCGAATAGCGCCTTCGCTGTTAACCAAGGCTGTACAAGTTTGGATAAGTTTTCTTGTACACACTCCAGGTGTTTGCAACAGATACTGGTAGTCCTTTCAAGTTCCAGTAGCTCATAGTGAATGATACCCTTTCCGTTCCACCAAACACAGGGCCAATATTTCTGTGAATGAAGTTCTGGTGTTGGAGTTGGCGCTGGTTTCTCATTGCGTGATAACCGTTGTCCTTTTTGCGTTTTCTGCTGTGATTAACAGCCCACTTTTTATAACATGCAACAATGTGATGCGGAAATGGCAGGTTTTCTCCTAAGTAGAAGACTGTTCTTGATACTGGAACGCTGTGGCTGAATTTCAGCTGCGATCTCATGTGAAACCAAATTCCCTCTTTGCATGTTTTTGTTTCAGTTCATCAGAGTCGTTTGTGGATATTTGAACATAATACATTTTGTTTTTTTGCGGCAAATCGCTGTTTCTGTCACTTTGATCTGATTTAGTAGTTTCATTCAGTGGGTCGTGATAAGCGATGAAGCAAAACAGTCATCAGGGATTGAACGGTTGATTGGCTCATATTTCATAGTGGCTAAAAGCGCAACTTTTTTCCGGACATCACAATGTACATATGTTAGGACTGCATTCAACGATCAAGCAACAAGATATGCACATCTAGCTGTATCATGGTGCTTAATCTAGAGCCCACGAATACAGACGCATGTCAACAGAACAACGGGCCCGTGGCCAAATAGTTAACTTCAAAGACCAAATCCTGGGTTCGAATCTCAGGCGCTGCGGACATGGGGCTGCATGTAGCTGACCGGTAATTTTCAATAAGCCAACTATGGTTACTCCACTCTACTTCCCTTTTTTACTCCTCCGTTCGGCATATAAACACATAGGTTTGCTCCGACAAAGACAAGCAAGACGGGCTTATTGGTCGTCATCAGTCAGCCTTACACACCCTCAGGCGCGGACACCTGAGTTTACAACCCGGACTATTTAGTTATTGGCCGTTGACAATTCTTCGTACACCTATACTGCCACTTGCTATCCGACTGGCTGCGATGGCGCTAGATTGAGCTCCAAGGCCTAAAATGACGAGTACGTCGGGTAACCTGGTCGGCGACTGCCCCTCTATCACAGTCAATATACCCGATCACAACTGAAGGGACAGTGAGCTCGTAGTCCAACTGTTAGAACGTTTGGCATACTAACCTTCATTAAGCAAAAGAACCCGGGTTCGGGGCTTGATTCTTCAAGGCCTGAGGTTGAGTATGACTGGCTGAAGATGGCTAATAAGCCAGAAATGAACATTTCGGCCTTCCTTGTCTTTGTCGGCGCCGCCCTATCTACCTATATGAGCAGTCATTATGCAAATGCATGCGAGGTCTCTCTACCACAAATTGTACGAACGATTACGTACATCTGTTCAACAAGACACGTCACAATATTTCCTTCCGTAGTTGGTAAATTCAAGCATCTGACTAATGAAGGCGAAATTTCGAGTTCCAGGTGTATGCATAAGTGAAGAAGAAGAAGAGTCGAGCACCGGAACACTTCGTTTATTATCCTGAGCTTTCAGACTCGTACAGGAATCCATCGTCAGAGGGAGTGGCAGAAACAGGACAAGCGGCAGTTATAGGGCACGTTGGCCCAATCATCGACCGACGTCGCACGACTGGAGTTGACTACGAAGGGCTCTGTACGTCGGCACCAGATCGATAAATCGATTGACCGAGTTCTCATCCGAGGCCCAGGCTCCAATCAATTCTCGGCCTGTTTTGTTTCCGGCGTGGGCGACTATTTTGGTGGTTGCGAAGTTAAACTCGTTACCCATTTCGTAGATGTAGGCGGCCACTTGTGATAATGCGTCGCCTCGCCGACCAGCCAGCTTATGTTCGTGTATGCGCGATCCGAACATGCGTCCAGTCTGTCCTGTGTGGTTACATGACAATTTTGACACGGAATGCGACACACTACTCCAGATTGCTCCTCAGGTTTTAACCGGTCTTTGATTTTCATGACCCTGCTGCGCATGGTGGCTTTGGGGGGGTGGGCAATTCCAACACCTAGCTCCGCAGCAATGCGCTCGGTCGCTTCTGAAAAACCCTTGATGTATGGCAGAGAATTCCATATCGTCGGTGGCGTTGATGTTCGAGTTCTCTTGTGGCGACCGCGTAGGCAGCGACTTATGAATGCCCTCGGATAGCCATTTTGCACAAACTGGTAGCGGAGATAACGGGCCTCACGTGCTCTGTCCTCCGATTTGCTGCAATGAGTTTGGATCCGTTTGAAGAGCGTCTTCACACAGCTTCGTTTGTGAGCCACCGGATGGTTGCTGTGGAAACTGAGAAGCTGTGTGGTGTTCGTTGCCTTCCTATAAACCGTCGTTTCAAGTTCACCGTTAAGGTTTCGTCTGAAAAGCACATCCAGGAAGGGCAACTGCTGTTCCTGTTCTTTTTCCCTCGTGAATTTTATATCCGGGAAGACGGCGTTGATCAGGCTGTTGAAATGTTGCAGTATGTCCTTCTTTAAGATGACGAACGTGTCGTCAACGTAACGGCGCCAAAACACCGGTTCATCTTACTAAAATCAGCTTCTCATGCTTAAACGCCTCACTTAGACGCCGTCCAGTGTCAGAAATTGAAATACTATATTTGGAGTTAACAGTTGGAACCTGTGAAAAAAAGTGAATCCATTGCACTTGTACCCGGTGGCACTTGGAAGTCGATGCAACACGAGAACACAGAGTGAGAACTTCTGATTGGCTCCCAGGTGGGAAAGTATGCCCACGACTTACAGATTAGACCCTCACTTTGTTTAAGGGCCCTGCTCACTAAAGCGACTTTTCAAAAGCATGAGCTCCCATGGAGTTTGGACATATGCTCGTAACGGTTGCTCCTCCGTCGACTTCTAATCGCTAATGATTGTATGAGTCAAAATTACTGTTAAAGTTTTCACAATTCTCGTATGCCGTATGACTGCAATGCACTGCAGATGATCGATACAGGGACACTGGGCAAAATGGTTCTTTGCCAAATTTTACCTTTCTACTATGCGACTTTGGATTTCAAGTTGCGCCATTGGCGGCGAAACTAAGGCCGAATAGATTTTTCGGCAGGTTCATTATACCTCGAGGCAGCTGAAGATGTGGGAAAACTGTATTGTTCCGTACTCTGGGTGCCTTTGCGATTTATGTGGAATGTAGGCCATGACCTCGTGCCTCCTTTGAAGTTTTGTCGTATTTGTCAAGCTTAACCTTTTTACCCTGGTCGCAATATCCGACCAAACATTATTTGGCAATACCCAGAATTCTAAAATATGCACAGTTTGACTAGTACTGTTCTGTCCTTGTGACCAGGAGTAACGTTACCGTTCCAAGAAGAGCAAAACCTGCGAAAGAATCACATTCGGATTGATTTAGCTACTGTCGCCCCTAATATGGAATGGAATGTGACTAACATCAGACCTTTCATGTGTCTCCGTTTTCCAAGACCAAATAAACACCCGAATGCGTTCCTAGCGTGTGCTTAAAAACAGGCGGAAATGGCGCGAAGGCGATATTCCCGATTGCGTGTTCACAAAAGGAGATTATGATTCGTCATCTGGTCAGTTAATTATTATGCCACTGTTAATGCTGCTAAGTTGTGACGCCGAGGACGAAGTTGAAGTTTCAGTCTGTTGTTCTTTTCATTCCATCTTTCCTCTATACGTCAAGCATGCCCCAGAGGTCAGGGCCGATTTACAGCTTGGTAACTATTGGGAGATGGCACCCAAACACTCCGTTACTTACAGCTCGATAGAATAGGTGAAGGCTGATGTAGTGGTTGGACCACCGCGCATCCGCAAACAGGGCCTTTTGCATGGAGTGGGGAGAAGCAGTTGTTGCCATGGTCTCTGGAACAACCTCAACATGTCCAGGTCAAAGTGATGACTCATTCATCAAGCATGTTCTGCCATGTGAGGCATCGTCTCTGCAGGTCGCACAGTCCGTTCATGTCCACCTGTGCGGGTTTCCGATCATTACCTTACTTCGCCTTAGTAATTACAATCTCCACTGCCGGCTAGTGAATTAGTTTTGTCGAGAATTTATGAGGCGATATTATCTAGAGTAACTATCCATGAATAAACCTGCGAAAATTTCCAATAAAAATGTTGATGACTATTTGATGAGTATAGGTCTGCTTCCCATAAAATCTTATCAGGGCTTTTAAGTTATGCGGGAATCAAACGCATGCACCTCAAGTAGTCTTCTGAGTCTCTGGATACTTTCTCTTTAGGTAGAAGGATGGTCTATGGCTCAGAAGGTACGCGAAACCAAATAATAAGGTCAGTGATGGCGCACGCCGAAAGCGCTAATTATACCCTTGGCCTAACAGATAGTCCGCGAAGGTGATGACTATGTTTTTACACGACAGACCTGAGAACTCGCTTGTGGGGACATGAACTGGTAGTGCGGAGGGAGAGAGTGTGGTCGATTCTGGCAGAACCTCAGTTAAAAGTGGGATTTAACCCTTGATTGGCCAGGGGGCAGTAAAACTCAGTGACTGAAATGTCAACTTTTTTCGTGTGAAGTGTTGTCTTAGTGGGTAAATTTATAAGAAGAGAGATGGAGGGGAGGAATGAGAGATGCACGTAGCGAGCGTAATATTTGAGGTATACAGAGCAGTTACTCTATTTCTGATTGGCTGGTCATGCTCGAGTGGTTGCCTGCCAAGTGAGGCGCTTAGGAAAACGAGTGACAAAACGTATGCCATAAACCTCACTGACGACCACACACGAAGCCGCAAGCGCAGGCTCTAATTTCAACTGCCATAGTCATGGGCAGTGAACTGTGAGAGACGCCCAGCTAACCCCGGATGCGCACAACATCGATGGTTCGCCCACTATGATCGATGCCTACAATAACCGTCTCGAGAGCGCAGTGCCGGCTTGCTCGCATACTGGATAGTGGTAAAGACTTACGCCTTACCTATGCCACCCCTCCCACTCTCCCTCCAAGCACATTTTATTCTAGTGGCAAGACAGAGTTAGAACAAGTCAAACTAGGCGTGGGTGCAGTGGGTCGCTGAAACTAAACAATCGATCCACACCCGTCACTCAAGGCATGGTACGATTTGAAATCAAGACCAACCTGATGAAAAGTCTTCTCAGCTCGGCCCTCAGACGAGAGGAGCCTTAATTTACCCCGTCAGTTTGCGACCTTTCCTCTGGAAACTCAGCAAGGTGTATGTGTTGGTTTCTCAGGTGGATCGGCCTCACTCCCTCTTCCGTCTCCTATTAAATGCAAGTGGCAAGTCCGAGTAAAACAAGCTAGGACCGAAAACCAAGACGTATGGTTGTGGTCTGCGGCCTGCAACATGAGTCACACGAATAAGTTAGCGCACAATCACGTCGTCATCATTCCCTCCCTTCTTCTGCATACCTTGGCAGGCAAATCGTACATCAATCATGACGATTACCCTAACCAGCACAAAGAAGCAGTGGCAGTCTGTGTGTGAATTTATACTAAAATTAAAGGTTATCCACTGCAAACGGGCTTCGTTAGTGTCCAGATAGATGATGAGGGAAGCCATATTAGCCAACAACATGTGTTTTTGGTTGCGCCCAGCCAGTCTGAAACCTAATTATTGTAGGATCTTTGTGTAGTATATGTTAGATAGTCACTAGCGTCAGGTAACCCACTATCTCTAATCTCACCACCGGTCGACTGGCACACTCGGACAGATACTTGGTAAAGGGGAAACAAAGAGGGAGTGGTGCCTATTGTTGAGAAGGTAGGGTGTGATTATGTAGCTCCATCTCATGAACACAAAACTGTTGGGGTTGGGGTTAGGGTTAGGGGTTGGGTCAACTATTTCAAAACCACTCAAAGTACAACCGCGCATGCCCAGTAGCTTTTCTTTTGTAAACAACTACTTGACCTCCTCGCCTTGCGTTCCCCGGCCCCATCTGTGAAAATTCCTATTAACACCCGTTCCGTATTACAGGTGACTGGAGTTTTTTACTTCAGGTGGGGCTTCATAACCACATCCGACCAATAGAAATTCTTTTACAGTGCACTTCACACCGTAATGAATCTGATAAACCTAATTTCATTAAAACACGTTTAACATCGCGGTTTGGAATGTTCCCAGCTGACGGGACAACGCGAACCTATTTAGGACTAGGAATGAGACTACAGCGCCTCCTTCTTACTTTGACCCTTAGCCTGTCTCACCCACCTGGGACACTAGACAAGTCCCCTTAATGAGGTTTGGATCGTCCAAGGACATTCCACCCGTGGCACGCGTAGATGGATCGACTAGCTTTGTCATGCACTGTGTTCACGCACATCTCGGGCTCCTTCGGTCTCAAGATGCATTGGATGCGGGAAACGGTAATAAGGCAAAGAGAATTCAGTTTAAAGGAACTGCCACGTAAGTCTTAGCTGCGCTCAAGTCATGGGGCAGTGGTTGATGCCGTAGATCGCAATGATTCAACTATTGTTGGAAGAGTGACTTACTCCGTACTTAAATTCCACTTCCGTTCCACGCAAGCGTTGTCCCAAGGTCAAGGCTAAGACTAAACTGAACGGGAGTTGGTACGACTTTTAGCTCTGCGCATTTGAGCGATGGGCTCCACTTTTACGATCGCATCAAACTTTGAACATAACTTCAAGGGCTTGGGGACCCGTGCCTGCTACCGTTATCTGTCTTGTGGTTGTACTAATGGTATCGCTGAGATCAGCACAATAAATTGAAAAGCGTGAGGGCAAAGCAAATGGGCACCACTTGAATTTGGATCATTTGTGACTGTCTGTCCATTATGACGACTGCCTTCCGGTAGACGCCCCACGCAATCCAAGCTCTGGCTACACATTCAATGACACGCTGTGTGCTATTTCGACTGTGTTCCACTTTACTGTTTTGACATGCGCCTGATGTACATTGATTGTACGATAGGCAAATTTTACAAGCATTCCCATTGTATTCGCATCCTACTTCGAACCCGTTGCTCGGGACATGAAAGGGCCGTTACCTACTTTCGCTTTATGCACAGACCCTTTTCTCTCGATGTAAGCTTCTTCTGGTCGTAAAACAATCCCTAGTTCAGTTTGAAAACCCCGTTTCACTTATTTTCAAAGTAAAGTAAGACGTATAATATCAAAAGTTTCTGAGGCAGGAGATAAACATTTGAATCCCTCGAAAGAACACGTGGGCCATATATCCTGGGTAAAACGCCCAAAGTGAGCACCAGCGACCGCGTTCATCATTAGTCAACATTGTTTGGGTTAATTGGTTGTTGTAAGGTCCAGACGATGCGTATTTACAGTTTAGTTTGACAGTTATTGATTCTTACACCAGTTCTGCTAAAAAATAGTTAGGCAACTTTTGTTACCTTGAGGTACGATAACGAGAACCTTATGACTCCAACTCTGTAGATTAACAGCAGTAGAACATAGTAGCTTGACCTTGTGGCATATAATTGGGACCGCTTTATTGTGCCAAGTTTCTTAATAAGCTAACGTTTTACAATAATCACGGCGAACAGCTGGACTCTTGATTTAAAGTCCATGCATTTTTCACACCTCAGAATGCTCCTTTAAACACTTTAGTGTAACCGACTCGCTCTTTTCCGCCCTTCACATACAGTGAGTGCATTCCATGGCGCGAAGCCGTTAAAAGTTTAACGGAAACATCTGGCAATGGTTTCTGGCAACCTCTAGAACCTACACTTATTCTAAGTGTCCGTACCCTGTGAGTAGATGTGTCTGCGTGAGACAGCTGGCATTGGCTTGTGCTATTCTTGTCCGTTTTGCCAAGCATCGAATTTTTTACGAATAGGAAAAGGTTAGCACGGTATTTATTCGTGATTTTGCCCTCCCGGATTATGGAGTCAATAGGAATTAGGACCTGAGTCTCACTTAGTATGCTTCAATATTGGGTTTCTTCAATGGCAAAGAATGGACATGTTACCAGTGTTTCTTATTTTATGTGAACCTCAGCGGAGGTTACTGGGTACATACATGCTTTTTCATGCGTCATGAAATGTTGTCTAAATACATTAGAGTCGAGGTTTCGGCATTTTAATCTGTCCTCTGAACATAGGACATGGCTTTCTTATATTTTAGGAACTATAGTGCTTACTACTAATCAGCCACGGATTAGATCCCTAGTTAAGTTTTCAAAAATAACATTTTTCACTGCATTTTTGGTTACCGCCGAATTCAAAAAGACAGGTGCTGATAAGAAGCGAAAGTAATTATGATACGTTTTAATTATGCAAGAAAGGGTATTCCACAGAGCTATTTTTGCTAGCTTTGGAACCTCGCCGAAACAAAATTTTACGTTCCTCGTGTCTGCGTACGTCTACATTTGAAGCAGCAAATGTGGTCTTCGTGCTACGAGCTTGCAGTTTATATTTCACATTTATTTCTGCACACAACTTGAAACAGCGAACAATCACAACTGCTGCACAACTCGTTCACAGTAGGACTGGGAATATGTGTGAATGGTTTTTTTAAATTTTCCAACGTGGTAGGACACGGGAATTCGGATCATTCGTACTGCAGGTGGCCTTACGCCAAACTCAAGGGGGATTATGACTAGGATTAGAGTTAGGAGGGTTAACAGTGTCAAGATCAAGGCTAGGGTTAGGAGTATGAGGAAGAGGAGGAGGAGGAGGAGGAGGAGGATGAGGAGGAGGAGGAGGAGGAGGAGGAGGTAGGGTATAATTAGGTTTTTGAAAAGTTTAGAATTGTGAGAACTTTGAAAATCGTGAAGTGACCGTTCATAAGACGTCATGACTCTGCATTTACCAATGTGGCTTGTAAAGTAACAGCATCGCTTAAATCCCCTGCTAAATTTTATGAACGCTATATGGTCTCCTCTTAATACCGTACAGAAATGTATGGTTTTCCGTACACGGAAAATACACGGCTTGTATTTTGGAAACCAAAAATGCAAGTGTATCGGCATGTCGGGGTTCAAAATGATTCGGAAATTGAAAAAGTTCTTGAAAAGCGAATCATACTCTTCCTTCGAGTATAAAATTGGAAAAGGGCGTATTTTTCTACTTAATGTGCAAGGCAATGGATATTTTTATTCATGTTTTCCAAGCAATATGATTGAAATTTTAAGGGAATCGGAAATCAATGCGTAAACTGCATGCTACGTAAGCAGTCACTTTTTGCAAGGTATAGTGTTTACATGCGGCCAAAAAGAGGTTCGTTAGAAAGCCGAAATCCTGAGGTAGCTGAATTAGTACAGAATTATGCTGCGCGATCATTAGTTTTACAGCCCTACTTGATTAATCTTTTCGAAACAAAAACGCATCTCGGAATTTCGGTTGACATTTCATGACTTAGCCCACCGACTGCAAGTAGCAATTTCATGATGCCCAAATAATGGGTTTCGCGTCGAGCACATATCCTCCGTTATTTTGGGTTGTGTGAAAGTTACAAACGAAACAGAACTAGAGAAATATACAACCCTGTTCTTGGGCGTCTCAGTCGAAAGGTCACATCATAAGTACTCGAATCGAACATACATGCACAACCCTGGCAAACAGGGTCACATACCTGGCTCGGAAAAGTACAGGGACCGCCCTTTTTTATTACGCGTCAGGTAATGCGATAAAAGCCTCTTTCGTTGCAAAGCAAACTTACAACATTGACCGGTCCTGTTTCAGATAGCGACTCTACCTGACATTTTAGCTAGTCATTGGAACTTATTTTGAAACGCACTATGTATCCACTACTGTGAAGCACCTTTCTGATGATGTCATAATCCAAACTTTGCACAGTCCGGAGAGCAAGTCAGGGGAACAGAAACCCCCTACCCCCGCTGACTTGCAGTAATTTCCAGAGAAATTAAGTTTAGCGCTAATTTTAGGACCAGAGTTAAGTTCAGGGTTAGGGTCGCGTTTGAGATTTGGCCTATTTCGTACCATCCGCGTCCTTCATTTGACAGTCATCTGCCGTTTGTCTGTTAACTAGCGGGCTAAAGCTAAGGGTATGCAGAAAATGCTGACGCGTTCCACAAGCCTGGTCCAAATGTTAGGTCAACCTCCTCTGGATAAATAAGTCAGCATTGAAGTAAACGGTCAAAACCTCTCCGACAGTTACACGTTCGCTATCTGTTAACGGAGGGAAGGTAGTCGATTTGTCCAAGCGTGGAACCGGCCTTCAGTCAGCAGATTTCATGTGTAAAGACCAGGCATGCTGGAGAGACGATTTTCTTTCCAATTCGTCATATCCCAAATTCTACCAGGGGGACCTTTGAGGGCAGCACATGCAGCCTACAATGAGTTAGCTCTGCAACCAGGTCAGATCGATGATTTTGCATATGCGCACAAGTCAGCACAGGTTTGACATACATAAAATGGCATTATCAACAAAGACAAGGGGGACTGGAATGGCCATTTCCGGCTTATTAGCCGTCGTCAGCCAGTCATACCCAACCCGGAAGTGTGGAACACCCGAGGCTCGAACTCGCGATCTGTTAGCTAAAATATCAACGCCTCTGACCACTGGGCCATGGCCCGTTGCTCTCTCGGTTTTGATCGGAAATATACAATGGTAGAGGGGTTGTGTATGACTGGCTGACGACGGCTAATAAGTCAGAAATTGCCACTCCAGTCTCCTTTGTCTTTGTCGATAAGGCCATTCTACTTATATCATGCGCCGCTGTGCGGCTGCTGGTTGGGCTCGAGGGAGTCTCATAAGAACGATCGGTGAGCGCCCTTCTACCATCCCTAAAAGTGCGGAATTTGGACCTTACCGACAAAGTTAACATTAACTGGTCAACTGGTTGTTTGGTCTTCAGAGAGACGTGTACCTTCAAAAGAGGATCAGTTTTAATTATCAGGATGCGAAAAGCGTGTTGGGTCATCATTTCTGTCTGAGCAGACAGTTGATTGCAGCGTCATTTACCGTTAAGTTAGTGGTTAGTTAGTCAGTGGAAGCAAGCTAAGGGGTTGGGTACGGGACTGAAAACCCACTGCATTGCAGTGGACCTTGCCTAAGTCCCGGAGTTTTATGATTAGGGATGGTGTTCATATTAGGTTTAGACATAGTATAGGTGCTAGGTTATGGTCAGGACACGAGAATAGGTACGTCCCTATAATTTGGCTCGAAGTCACCTGTAATGCATGGGGTCTTCCATATTCCCGTCTCCGGACAGCTCAGTCTTTCCACAAACGTCCAGTTTGTTCATGGAGTTCAGCTGTTCAGTGTACGATCACCGACGAATATAAGGGAAACTAGAGTATCCATTTCTGGCTTTATATGCCGTATACAAACTCCACGGCTAGGTAGACTCGGGAGTTCGAAACGGATCGTCCTTTTTGAGCAATCAATAGACCGAGCGCTTAGTCGTTGAGCCAAAATATTCCGTCCTATCGACTGCGATCGAGTGTATTCAGGAACATGGTGAATTGAGACTTCGTCGATCAAATTTCAGTGAACAGAGTGTTTATTCAGTCTTGTCTTATGGTCAGAGTTTACAAGTTGAACTTTCGAGGCAAAGTGAAACGAAAAGACTCTATCCTATGATAAAATCGACGGAAATTTACCTTCATTTAATGACGGTTAAAATGGCCTAGGCAAACACATATTCTCATGAGAGTTTCTGTAATGTATTTGGTTAAATTATTTGCAGATTAAACGCTATGGTAAGTGTAATTGTTAACTTCATTTGGGTCTGCAAGGACATTTCCGCAATCCGATACGTTTCTGTGATCATACTGATTTATTAATTAATTTTGTCCACTTAGAACGTACGCTGTCTCCAGAAACCGAATCCTATTGGTGGGATAGCATCTAACACGGATCTAATCGCCCTAAACTGTGTAGAAGGCTCTGAAAATTCAGGTAGGTAATGTTTACCATTGTCCACCGAAACCCATTCAGAAAAAGTGCATGTTCAACCTGTCGCTGATATGCTTACCGTAAAAAATCACTCTGTTAGCCCCACCAACCTGTTTATGCGTTTATTGGTGCGGGAGTGTATCCGGTCAGCTTATTTCATGATCATGGTAAATTAGCTTGATGTAAATTGAAATATGGTTGTCGAATTGCGATTACTCTTCCACTTTAAACCCAATGTGATTAATTCACATCAACTTTACCTCTGCAGTCGGCTCAGGACTCCTTACGGAATTAGAAAAACTTCTTTTTCTCTACTCTGAGATCCCGGCATTCGCATGTTAAACTCTCTGACGTGCACTAAATCTAAAAGCTAAATCCGAATCTAAAAAATCTGGCAAATACTCTTCGTTGTTAAAAGCTTCTAGTCCGTTGATGGGTATTAGAATCCAAGATGAGAGACTGGAATGACCAGGTTCCGCCTATATTACGGTTTTCGACTATCCGTACACCAACTAAGGACTGAAAAGATCTGATATTTGCAGACGGTTGCATCTCTTGCTCATATTTGATGTTGACTTCTGTGTTGGCATCCAGTGTGGATTTCAAAAGTGGATAGAATGCTATTCTTGTTACAGCGGTCGAATCGCCCTCTTCTCAACATCTTCTTGGGACTCACCTTCTCCTTAGTACCAGCAAACGGGGTAGGATTGAACCTTGAGCCAGAGAACTCTTCATTTCAACCTCGAGCTGACCGCGTCGCTTTACATTGGCCACGCCCATGATCACTGCAGTGTGGCTATCACTGACCTGACCCAATTTCAGGGCGGAAGGTTCAAGTCCCGCTTTGTCTTAGTGCTTCAGTCTGAAGCAGATTAAGGTCAAACCGGAGTCATATGGTCTCCTCAGGGAAACGTTTATAAGTGCACTCTGTCTAGAAATTACTTTATCAGTTAAAAGTTCATAAAATTTTACCCGCTATTTTTTACTATTTCCTCTAGATCTTAAAAATTTCTTGTGGAAATTTCTTGTGAAAAAAGGCCAGACGAAACAAAGCTTACAAATAATCCAGTATTAAAACTTATTGCAGAAATCGGCCAAACAAAGCTTTGCCTGTAGAAGCGACGAAGCGAGTTCCCGAAAATTTTTTATACGAAGATGAAATTGAGTCTGATTTTAGGTTTGCGTGAGAAACCGAAAATTCGGATGAATAAAATTCTTATTCCAGCGATGGCATCTTCTTCTAAATAAAGCTTTATTTAGTTGTTAGGTGGCAGACGGTTTATGCTTTCCATGTTCCAGGCCAAACTCCTAATATCAGATGGGCTAAATATTAACGTCAGGTGGACTTGTGTCGACCAGGGTACTGGCTAATCTAGTTAAAGGAGGCCGTTTCTTGTTCGAAATCGGCCTTGAATTCTCAAGTGAAGCTCAGTTATTATGGTTTCCCTTGTCAAAGGCACTATGCATAGGCAGGCCCGAAAATTTTCTTATTTCTAAACCTATCGTAGTTAAGCATGCTTTCGGCCAATTGTCCCACTGGAGTTTCCACGGTCACTCTTTGGGGTTCAAATGTGCGGTTATCTGGCAAGACTTCCCCGGCCCCATAGTGTGAACTGTAATTATTGGAGACGTAATTTTCATGGTAGCCTGGTTAAAGTGACCATGTCTCAGGAATGTGTATTCGGCCGCACACACTAGTGACGATTTTCAGTAGATGGTTGTAATTTTATATTAAGGTTTAAACGACATCGTCGTGGTCTAGATTAGAAGACTTAAAAGCGAGTGCCGTCCCGTCACTTTTCAAACGTTCCTGTTTCCTATGTTGCACCCAGTAGGAAATTCTATTGTAAATGATGGCGTCAGCCACATATTTTGAAATTCCCGGTTAGTTTTCTATAGCCTGTGCTCGTCACCATTGGCCATGAAGGAGACGAGATAGCTGGTAAGACGTATTCTTTTTTGTGAATTCTGCTGCCAGCAGTCAGCTTTTTGTGTTGGTAACAGACTATTGCATAAGCGCTGTTAGGAATAAACTTTCTGACATCGAAGATCTCCCCTCCAGTAGCGACTGATAAGTCTTCTAATTATTAATGGCATTTGACGGGCCCTGTCTTGAGGTAGTAGCCTCAGCCCTATAAACCTTCCAGCCCCAGTTGGTTGGCTAAACAGTAACTTGTGGAGAAATCGACTGAAATGTATACCGCTTACAAATGTTTTGGTCTTGGCGTACATTATTTATATTTCCTCAGTTATGATCAAGTCGGGAAAAGGGGCATGAGGGGTGCTCACGCATCCAGAAGCAGAGAGGTCTTGCAGTTTAGCTGTCACAAATGCGTGGTCAATTTTGGACTGAATTTGACGAAGTATCTCAGACTGCTCACTCACATTCATTTAGTCTTTGATTCCCGCGGTTGTTTCACACTTGGCGATTTCCATCCGATAGATAAGAACCGCGTCAAGTTCTGTGATAACGCATTCTAAAATCCGCATCTTACTACTTACAGAGCATGGTGGCGAAAACGAATTACCTACATGCAAAACACAGTCAGACACCCATGCTGTGTAGTTAACATAGCTAAAATAGCGATTTTTTTATTTGGAACTGAGGGTAAAAAGTATATCACCAAAGATTTATGGAGTCTGGTTTTACGATCAACTTTGGTTAATGACTATTGGAAATTTTGTCCACTTGCATTCCTTAAGAAAACCCAGATTTTAAATTTTCGTCATTTGACTAATTCGTTTATTCAAATCCGGTTTTGCAAACATCCATTGAAAGAGCTGTGACTGGCTTTTGTTTATGTGTGACAGGACAATGTAAGTTGCACTCTCCATACCGTTTGTCGTTTTCCTAGTACAGCGACTGTATGATCAGGGAATGCTGGTCTGATTTTTGCAGTAAGAAGTAAAATTTCGATAATGCCTTCCGTAAGTTTTTATAAGCGGCTGTACATTTTGAAGCGAAAGAGTTGTCATTCTTAAGAACCAGCACAGGAATCGTGCGGTGCTACCATGAAATTTGTTTTAATATTCTATTCTAGTTCAGCGGTGGTTAATTTCTTTCCAGTCAGGTAAAGCGCTTCAACAGAAAGCCGTTAAATTACACTATTCACAGTAGGCTGATTTGGACGCTTCAACCGTAGTGTTGGGACCCCTTTAAAACCAATTGCGAAGTTCTATTGAGCTCTATCGCGAAGATGCAAACTCACATTCAAAATATTTTCAAAAATCAAATAGTGCTAGCACAAAATTATGGCGATCTACATGATGCGTAGGTGCTTTTGTACCGAAAACCCCTGCTCACTTTACTGTAAAATTGCCATACTTAAGCTTATTTTTTATATCATAGTTTAGAATCCACTGAGGTCGCCGGGTTCTTCACAGTTGAAGTCAGTTAGATTAATAAATATTCAGAACGTAAAAATTTGCATAGGACGATTCAGTCTCCGAATACTGGTAGCATCATTTGCTAGTTGAAGTTGAATTTAAGATCATTCAAGAACCAAAAAACATGTGCCATAGCGGCGTTTTAGAGTTGAACTTTGACTTTTTAAATGTATCTGTCAAATCGCCAAAAATGTTCTGTATGTTTGTGTGCGCCTTTGCCGCTCGCATTTGTTCATTCTCTGTCCCCGAAATCTGGCCATTACGCTGGTCGTTGCTTCGACATGGCGCTACACAAGTACACTGCCAACCCATCGTGCCCAATAGCTTGTGCATATGCATTGCGCGAAGGCTCTTGCTGATGTGAACACAGGCCTCTCGCGGTATGGGCGTGGCTGTGATTCGCGTGCCTTTATAATTTACCGCCCAGCTTTCGCGCGCCAGATATCGACCTGTGTAAGCTGGCCTGATGGCGCAAGGCATGAGCTCTCACTTGTTAACGCGACCCTGGCGGTCACGATGGTCTGGCCAGGCTCTTGGCGCCTCGCCTGGCTATTTGCCACAAACGACGACAGCAATCGCGGCCCCACAAGGCGGGGGTAGAGATGAATTACGTGTGAACGGGTTGATGATGAAGCTGAATTTTGTGGCACCTATCCCACTCGCCCTTCCACGCCCATTATGTTTCAGTGGCATGACAAATCTAAGACAACTGCTGATGGACGCGGGCTCGGTGACTTACGAAATCAAATTTGCGTTTACGCGTGTTCCCAGGCAAGCTGTAGGGTAGGTGTCTGGGTGAAGGTGTGTCCAATTAAGGGCCCACGTGATGGTCGTAGTAGGTCGCTCACTTGCCTGCAAATGTAGTCCACTTCTAGCGTCCATCAACTGGCACCCAACTCTCACATGTGGCTCAAGGAAGCTAAGCTCTGCCTAGCGGCCGCACTCCGGTAACCGCCTCAACCCGTGGGCTAAACCACGTGAGGGTATCCGTGTGTGCCTCTCCGCATACGGTTACTCGATTCTGCCCCCAACATCGATGGCAGAATGGACCACTGCCTCTGCTTCTCTGAGATTAGGCTACGTCTCCAACCCCTCAGGAGGCAACAAGCGTTCAACAAGCTACTGGCTCAGTGGCTGGAAGACCGCCCCCTTCTCCGCTCTTCTCCTCTGCCCTCACTTTCTCTACCCTCCGCTCTACTCTACTATACACCACGATCGGAAGTCCCACGGATCACCGCATTGACACCTCCAAGATGAAGCTTCGCCCGCGACCTTGCCGGTGCCCACAAGGTAGGTGATCCCTTAGGTAAACCTTTTTACTTGCTCCCGCCTGCTTGCCTATGTCTGCTTGTCTGTGTTTGTCCTTGTTGTAAGCTAAATACCGTTCTGTTGCATTTTTCTGCTCATTGTTTATATTTCAGCAGCCATTTCGACTAGAAATGGACGGCAAATTCTGCTTCTTGTCCTCCTCCACATTTCTGCTCTCATCCCCCGCCTGCCCCTTTAAAAAGTCCTACGGCGATGCGGCAGGGATCTCGTGGGCAGCCCAGGCTAACTTGGGTCGTTCTCCCATTAACCAAATTCGTGGCCTATAGGGTAGTCCGGTAGCCGTCTGGGATGTCTGAGCAGCCCTTTTCAGAGAGAGCATTGATCACCCCCGCGAAGGGGAAGGAGATAGAAAAGGTGTCCTAAACAAATGCTGGGCAACCGCGACGCCTGCTAGCTAACAGTGGCCTCGGGCGCAAAACTCACGGTCGAAACAACCAAATTCAAAACAACACTATCACTCTTCCCCTCCTAATTCCTGCTGTCCCACTCGCCAGACTGGTAGGATGAGTCTGCTCACTCTAGCAGCCTGGAATGTCCGATCTCTTTTAGGCAATCCGAGGAGTAATCGACCGGAAGGGAGGACGGTGCTAATGGCTCGGGAATTTGCGCGCTACAAGGTGGACATAGCCGCATTCAGAGAAACCCGATTTTCTGAACAAGGTCAACTGAAGGAGGTGGGCGTTGGCTACACCTTCTTCTGGAGTGGTCGTCCCAGGACAGAGCGACGGGACGCGGGCGTCGCCTTTTTCATCAGGAATGACATCATGGAACGACTGTCCTGTCTGCCGCAGGGCATCAACGATCGCCTGATGAGCCTCCACCTGCCCCTCCGAAAAGGCAACTTCGCAACCATCCCCAGGAAATAAGCTCTGACACTGAAAAGAACAAGTTTTACGAGGACATGCATGCCCGCCTTGCGACTGTGCAAAAGGCGGATAAATTGATTGTCCTTGGTGACTTCAACGCCCGCGTCGGCACAGATCATGCTGCCTGGAGAGGAGTGCTAGGTCCCCATGGTCTCGACGGCCCCAACGACAATGGCCTGCTCCTCCTCCTCCTCCTAACCTGCGCAGAACACCGCTTCATCCTGACCAACATCCTTCGCCTTCCGATGCGAGAGAAGGTCAGCTGGATGTCCCATCGGTCGCACAACTGGCACCTGCTGTACTATTTCCTCATCCGGAGGCGGGACCAGTGGGACGTGTTGGTGACAAAGGCGATTCCTGGTACCAACGAATAGACCGACCATTGCCTTGTCATCTCCAAGATGCGGATTAGCCTACAACCTCGCAGGAGACCACACGGTAAGTAAACTCCAGATAAGCTGAATTTTGCCTTGCTGTCTTTGCCTGCGCACCATCTCCATTTCAACAACGAACTAGCTCAACGGCTAGTTAGGCTCCCAGTCGCCGCCGTAGCTGTCAACGGGAACGCTTCTGTGGAGAACCGATGGTGTCGACTGAGGGACACAGTCCAGTCGACCACCCGGCATGTGCTCGGTCGCGCATGTCAACAACATCAGGATTGGTTCGATGACAACGACGCCACCATCAGCAACCTGTTCACCGAGGAGTGCCGACTTCACAAAGCCTAAGTGAGCCACCCCACTGAAGAAAATAAGGCAACTTTCTACCGTAGTCGCCGATTTTCGCAACGGCGACTGTGGGCGAAGCAGGACACTTGGGCAGCTTGCAAGGCCGAGGAGATCCAAGGGTACGTGGGCCGCACATATGGGAAGAACTTCTTCTCTACGACCAAGTCTATCTACAGTTCCGCAGCCAAAGACACCGCTCATCTTTTCTGCGCAGGCGACAGCACCCCACTCACCGAGAAGACATTAATTCTACGGCGATGTGCCGAGCACCTCAAAGGCGTCCTCAACCGCCCCTTCACCATCTCCGACGCTGTTATCGCCAGTCTGCCTCAAGTGGAGACCAATGCCGACCTCGCCCTCCCGCCCTTTCCCCACGAAACTATCAAGGCCGCACAGCAGTTCTTCAGCGAGAAAGAACACGAGTCCTTCTGAGATCTACGAACACGGTGGTCTCCAGCTCATGGCTCATCCGACGGCGCTCGTTCAGGAAATGTGGCGGCAAGGAGACGTCCCTCAGGACTTCACGGACGCCGCAATCATCCATCTCTAGAAGCGAAAAGATAATCTGCAGCTCTGCGACAACCACCGATGTATTTCTCTGTTGACTATCTCCGGGAAGATTTTCGTTCGCATCCTCGTCAACCGTCTGAACAACCATTTGGAACAGGGTCTCCTGCTGGAAGGCCAGTGCGGCTTCTGCCGTCATCGCGGACCCACCGACGTGATGCTTACTGCCCGCCTACTGCAGGGTAAGTGTCAGGAAATGCGGATCCACCTAGACTCTACCTTCGTAGACCTGATGAAAGCCTTCGACACGGTGAATCGCGAAGGACTGTAGAAAATCATGCAGAAACTCGGCCGTCCCAAGCGAATCCCTCAGATGTTGAGTCAGCTCCATGATGACATGACAGCGTGCGTCGTATCAGAGGCCCTCGCAGTGACCAACGCAGTGAAGCAGGACTTAGTCCTTGAGCCTACCCCCTTCAGTCTCATTTTCACTGCCATCCTCATGGACGTCTGCCGTGATGAAGGCCCGGGATCCTCGTCGTCTATAGGACGGACGACTACCTCTTCAATCAGCTGCGGACGCACTTTTTGGCACGTGTTTCCGCAACTTTCGTCCATGAAATTCTCGTCGCCGACGACTAAACTCTCAGCGACATCTCCGAAGGGGAAATGTGCCGCCTGCGACAGCTTTGGCCTCATCATCAAAACAGAGAAGACGGTAGCCGTACATCAACTGCCACCCTACGCTACCTGCGTTGCACTCCAAATCAAAGTGAATGGCGCCCAACTGCAAGCCGTGGACTAAATTACCTATCTAGGCAGCACCCTCTCTCGCAATACCAAAACCAACGATAAAGTGGCCCATCGGATCTCCAAAACCAGCCAACCCCTCGATCGTCTTAGAAACAGAGATCGGAATCGACGCATGCCTCGCATCAACACCAAACTGAAGATGTGCAAAGCGGCCACCCTTCCGACGCTGTTATATGAGCAGAGACCTGGACGGTGTGCAAGGAACAGGCGCGGAGACTTGACTACTTCCACCTCAGCTGTCTTCGGTAATTACTGAAGCTCAGGTGGCAGGACCGGATCGTGGACACCAACGTACTGGAACGGACGGGAATCCTCAGCATCTACGCCGCGCTGAGACAACTGCAACTTCACTGGAGCGGCCACTTCGGGCGCATGGATGAGCAACTACCCAAATGTCTCTACTACGGAGATGTCAAAGTCAAACGCGACGCTCACGCATCTCAACTGTGCCCATCTCATTTGCCATCTCCTACGCAAATGAGAAGTGTGCGTCGCAGCTTTGTCCCTATGCAGCCCCTCTGCTGCTTTTATGATTCGAGTTTGACACTAGCACGGCACGTTGAGCGCTGTGGCTTGGAAGGCTGCCGACAGACGCCCCAACTCGGTCCACGCAGTCTATCCATTTGTATGTGTGTGTTTGTTTGTAGTGGCGGACTGGTGAGCTGAGGGTCAGGCTGAGATGGCTTCATCTTAACGTGACCTATAGCGCTCTCACGTATTTGAGGTGTGTGCTACCCAACGCCAGTTGTGTGAAATCCTGGTGCCTGTGGTTCGGAGCCAAGTTGTGAATGTGGCGGATGCAGACAAGTTCACTGGATATGTCATCCACCGCGCCCATTCTTGCACCTGTCAACCAACCAGCTCGGACAGTGTTTGGGACCTGGAGATAGGAAAGGAGACTTAGGTCGACGACTCAGCGCATTTTCCTCACTATAAAAATTCTGACGCGCTTGAGGCCGTCACGGTGCACTAAAAGCCGTGACTTAGAGGGTTGCCAACTGATGGGATAACTTAGACCTCTCAGTCGGCCCAGTGTTGTGTGTTTGTGTGGAGTGACCGGCTGGTGGTCTAAGAGTTAGGCTGCGATGGTTTCTTCTTAGTGTGGCTTTTATGGCACTCCCACTCCGTGGGATCCGTGCCAGGTGTGACGGCACGCCTAGGTGCGACTTCGACCACGCCAGCCATCTTTATGTTGCTGGTTAAAATCCTGGACATCCTCTGTGTAGACCAGGGATGTGGAGTGGAACGTCAGGGTGCGGGCTCGACCGTACTATCCACCTGCACCCCCGCCTCCGTTCTTCTTGACTGTTTTGACACCGGGTCCAGGTGGAGGGGGAGGGAGTGCGGTAGATTCCGCGCAAGTCTACATTCATTACAAACTAAATCACGCGCAAGTTACCGGATCTGCTTCACATCGCTTTGGAGCAGACGGTAGACATCGTCGGATGCGACGGTCGAACTGTCAGGGTAAATGCCCAATATTAGAGGATATTTTTGGTCATCGGTGCAAATACAATCGAGGTGAGTGATCGACAAGATACAGCGTACACAATATAGCACCTGCACACTAACGCAAAAGTACAGTGCCATACATACATACATTTTGTAATCAAATTTAATTTTTACGGCCGAATATTTACTTTAAATCTAGGAAACATCTCATACCTACTTCCATGTTTAGTCCACCCTTTGTGTTTGGACCCTTGCCAGCACGCTGTTATGATTTTGAAAGGCAACGCGTCTGTAAGATGGCGTGGGAATCGCTAGTGAGCGCTTAGTTCGCATAATTTGTTAGAATCACGACGTGATGCATATGTGATCATTAAAACAAGAAGATCGTTAGCCGGACGTTTCGGATTCGCACTCAAACCTATTACTTATAAAGTTAAAGGAGGCACAAACAGGGAGACATCTAAAGGGCTCAGCTTCCATGCCACCAGAACTCATGCCACAACCCATGGTTTTATCGTTGATGCTCATACTTGATGAGCTGATGGCATTCTTTGTGCTTCCACTAAACTTATCTGGGACTGTGTCTGAGGATGGGTTCAAGGGAGAATCCGGAACGTCAGGACAAAGAACATCTTGCTCTAGCAATCGTTTCTTATTCTTCCGAACTGCCTTCTGGAACTCGACGGTTCCTTTTTACCACAATCATGCGTACGGCCATCCAAAGCACGACGATACTTCGTGGTTGCTACCGAATACACCGGCCCAACAGGAGTACAAAAAGTAAGCCTGTCTCAGCGTGACAACCACCACACATTACTTCTAGTGATAGATCGGATGTGCACAAGTTTCGGAGTCCTTCAGTGATTCCTGAAGGTAATTAGGTTTAAACACATGGTAAATGTTTTCAAAAATGACCACGATTGGGGATTTATACCATGGGTTCTATCTGACACTTTTTGAAGCTGGCAGCTAAAAAAATCTTCGGCCTCTCGTCTACCATTATTGATCGTTCTAAAACCAAAGCCTTAGACTGCATTTGGACTTTGCGTTCCACAGGCTGCAATCCCACAGAAACATTCTTTCTTACTGGGCCTCGACAAGTCGGCGTTTCCACTTGGAGACTTCAGAATGCAAATTAGAATGCTCTTCAGTTGCGATTAACTATTCTCACCTTAAACAAACGAAAATGTTGGCAACAAATAGCAGAGTTAAAGGTCAAACGAAGACCAGAAACTAGTCAAATCAACGGGACAAGCAACCTTTGCAGGGAGTTCCGTTAAGAATGTGCATGCTTTGGAAGCGGAAGCACCCCACATGTTTTCACAATGCTTCAACACACAACAGTAAACATTTGCGACAGCTGCAGAATACTCTTTCTCCTGAGGTCATTTGTACAATATTTAAGCCAATCTGCATTTAACTGAAATGTTTCAAAATACACAAGAGAATAATCACCTGATGATCTTTCCTATAGTGTGGTTCTGAAACAAATCCCATTAAAAATTACGGAAAATGGGCCTGTCAAAAATATAGTTTCTTTTCTGTCTATCCAGTGTACGCAGTTAGAATAACTGTCCGCTCCCAAATGCACAAAATGAAGCGCAGGAAAGGGCTGTTTTTGGATTGACCAATTTAAAGCTTTCATAGGTAGATTTGCGTGATATGTTTGCGCTGGCATTTTAGCCAAATACGCAGCTCGACCAAATGAACGTGCCTCCCCGCAATTGCGAATGTCAGGAAAAACAACCTTTAGACTGCTGCCGCAGGACACAGATCTGATCACATTCCAGGACAGTACGTCCTTGGTTCACCGCATGCGGTGACTATGTAACCAACCGCTTTTGGTGCTGTCTTAGTTAACCCTCTGATAGATCGACCGTCGTCACCGACGAGGTCCACCTTGTGTTTCACAGCAAGGTGAAGCAGACTCGGTAACTTGCGTGTGATTTAGTTTATGGCGAATGTAGACTTGCGCTGTATCTACTGTACTGTCTGTTCGGTACCAATCGGCAAATGGCACCCAAAAAAATCCGTTATCTAGAAATGATACCTTTAACAGTGGACTCAAACGCCTGCAGGCTATATCAGCGGTTGCAGGCCTACTTTCACGCACCACTTGGACTTTCCCCGACAGCCTTACATGGGCTGGCCGAACGAACATCGCAGGAGGTTACATGAACGATGGTCGCTGTTACCCAACCTTCCCCATTGTTAGACACGCACACCTGAATATACTGCATACATTCGCATTATGGCAGTTTATTACAAAACAAAATCACTTTTAAATAGGATAAGTCTGTACAACACGGGACAGGAACAGTTCCCAGGTATCTGTCAAAGACATGGCATTGAGGCCAAACCAAAGACGATACTGTACTTGGTCTATGTGAGTCCACACAGCTCGAACACATACAGGGCCTCGCTCGTAGAGTTTCCTTTTCAGTCTACTCCAGTATGCCTCAATGGCATTGGCGTGCCGTCCGGTGGTAGGGTCCTTGAAGTGCTTTGAGTGGTTAACGGAGAAATGCAGATAATCTTCTGAGGGAAGACTATTATACGCCTTCCACTACTCCGTTACTACTATACTGCCTTTGGCGACCCATTTTGTAATAACGGAACGGAGAGCGGGCCAACATTGATCATTCACCTGTTCAAAAAAG